GGTCGTCAATTACTGGTTTCCCAAGTTGCCTGGAAGCATGGGCTACTGCATCCCGGAAATCCTATTACAGTCCAGAGAAGGGAAAACAGTATATGGAGGACACATATCACTTGATAAAAAGCTTTTTCTCCAGTCACTCTCTTCCCTAAAATGATAAAAACTGCAAAGCTGTATTTCCCATGAAAAATTACAAATTGAAAATACTCAATTTCTCCTCCCCCACTCACCTAGATAGAAAAATTAAAAAAAAAAAAAAAATCCACAGTGGCTGGAGAGCAAATTTGATTTTAAATCAGACTGCATGATATTTCTCTTAAACCTTTTAGTGTGATCTCCAAATTTAGCAATTATACTGAGTGTCTGGAAATTGACTTGCAACTCTAAAAAAATCCTTAAAATTATGCCAATACCATTATATGAACACAATCCATATATTTTAAAAGTCCCCAGGAGATTTTAACTAATTTTATTCTGGATTTAAGAGTCCCTTTGAACACTTTCAGGAATCATTCTCAACAACTAGAACATTCTAGTGAGACGTGGAGGGAGGCAATGTGCAATAATCAGAATTCTGGATATAAGTCCTTGCTCATGATTTACTATTACCTTGAGCTAGCTTCATTTTCCTCATCTGTTAAATGGTTTTAAAATAGTTATGAGACTTTAATTAGATATTATACATGATAAAAAAAATCTGCTCTGACCAGGTCAGCTAAACTGTAGTGTCTTGGTGGGGCTGGCTGGTTAGTTCACTTGGGAAAGCACAGTGCTGGTAACACCAAGGTCACAGGTTCAGTTCCCCATACCAACCAGCTGCCAAAATAAATGAAATGTAGTGCTTTGGGGACCTGGGTTAGGTTAGTAGTCATGTCTGCATGTCCTAGAAAACATTATAAGATCATTTTTCCTTAGATGCAGATGTGATGGCACCAGAAAGTCATGAAATAACCTAGAACGCTTCTTGTAACTCTTACCTTAGATCTTGCATGTAGGATTTAACCTAGTAACAATCCCAAATCTATATGTCAGGTACAACCAATAGAAAAACTGATGAAGTGATTAGGCGGGCTCTCTCTCACTCTGTCTCCCTAGATTCTTCTCTTTTCTTGTGATTATAAAATGCTAAGCCCTACTGGCCCCTCTTTGGAGAACATTTCTCAGAGAGACCTGACCTATGTTTTTCCCTGATTGCAGTCATCATACTGACTTAATAAATCCTACGCTTTATATGTTTGGCCTCAGTTTCTTTTAGGTCAACGCACATAAGGCTTTTTGCAATGCATCTGCAGAGAATCTAGAAAACATTTTAACTCTGGATCTTAGGTTCTCCCTTCCCTCTAGCTACGCTCCCAATAAATTCACCAGTACTTACACTTCTCACAAATGGATAAGACTTGCTCTTCACATATTATTTTTCATCTACTGTTCCCTATAAGGCTATTTGTACCACGTTTTAATATAGGTCAACACGACCACACACCATCACTCCAGAGGACTTCAAAAGAATGTGGCAGGGATAAAAATTTGCCTGGATTACAGTGTCCCCTCGAAGATATAAGTAAAACAATAGTGGAATCTGTTTCATAGTCCTGAGGACTCAAAAACAAAGATTTGTTCCTTCTTAGAAACAGTAGTTTTTATTAAAAATCCTAAAGTAAAGGTTGAGGTAAAATGACTCTACACTAGGCTTATCTTCCTTTACCTTTATTTCCAACTGCTTTCCCTTTGGGGATTGAGTGGGCAAATCAAATAAACAAAAAAAGATACTGTTTCATCCCTTGATCCCTTCAGCATCTGCCCTCAACATACATATGTTAACCATGAGTATTTCTTGTACTTCTTCTGGACAAAAATCCTCGTATAAAATTTGAAAGTACATGAAAGGATTCCTTTTCTAAAGTATGGCTATTTCATATAAGTCAAATCCTTATGCTTAATAAATGCTTAAAAAAACCTCTTCACTTAGCTGTACCTGGGCAAAGGTTACTTAGCCAAAAGGAACCAACTGCTTATACCAGTATCTAAAGAGCTAACTTGTACAATGAATTAGTATAATACAAAATAAGAGTTTATAACCTGTATAAGCTCCAATCCAAAAAACCACACAAAACATCTCCAGAAACCAAATGGATATTGGCCAAATTCCACCTCCCAACAGCTTGCTTCAATCAGCACTCACATTTGCTAAGAGAAAATAGAGCTACTTAACACTTTTGAAAGTCATTAGATTGTCAGGCAATCTAATGAATACAGATTAGAATCTAATGAAGCTATAAAATACATTTGCATATTATGAATAACTTCAGTTGTAAATGTATTCAAAACACAACAGTTAAATGTCTTCTACATTTTAATTTTTTTATCAGTTAAGTGGTTAATATAATTTAGATGCCAATGCTCCTTGCTCAGCAAAGCAATAGTCACCACCCTTTCTTCTGGTAGAATAAGTGATGACTATATTTGTCTCTTGGCAGCAGGATAACTTTTGTTTTCCAATTGGAAGGTATTTCCTCAGCCATGACAGTGACACTAGATGTTAGCTGCTAAGTAACTTAAGGATCCAGTTTGACACAGCTTTTGCCAGACTCTATATTCCATATGTCTGCCACCACTGCCAGAAAAGAAACTTGTTTATTTATTTAACTGAGACCAGCCAAATCAAAAGAGGGATGACTGGTGAGATGGCCACCTCTAAATGGAGGCCCTCATCACATACCAGGCAAAACTTTATTTTTTCCAGTACTGCTGGATGTTTGTAGGCAGCTCTGCATGAACTGACGGCTCATGATGATTTGGTTTTGTTTTTAATTATGAGTAGTATGTCAGAATAAAATAGAAATTTAATAATTAGAAGAAAGAAAAAACATTTAATAAAAACTATAGGAATTTAGAGAGTGTATATCCATAAGACCCAGAAGGTTTACATATGCAAACAAGCACTTGATAAAGATTCTATGCTTAACCAGACTAGTCAGGTTCCTCAACCTTTTCTT